GGCTGATCTTCAAATAGTAAGATAAGCTATAAAAATAGCTGAACCAGTTTAAAACTTTTGTTCCCATTCTTGTTCTTTTCTGAAGATTCATCTGGGTTTACCAAAATATGTGTCAGTGCTTAACACAGAGGGATCTGTAATTGACTGAGAATTTAAGCCGCCAAAAAGCAAAAATTTGAATCAGGAACTTTGAGAAAAATGTAGTGATCATGATGTCTTACAGTAGTTAGCTGTGAGCCTAAAGACTAGAGGTTTCTTCTGTTAGTTATTTACTCATTACTCTGCTTGGTGCACTCTCCAGCAGGGAAAAGAAAAAAAAATTATATTGGATTTAAAATGTACTTTTATTAAAAGATGGTATGTCATTTTCTGTTTCAAATCCTGGCATGGATGATTGTCCAGATTCATTACCTAACTTGCTGTTGTGAAAATCGGTATGGTGGTTATAATACATTTGAAATGTGGGAAGGAGAGAAGTGATCTAGAATTCTCAGTAATTGAAAAGCCTTGGAGATGCCGATCATGGGGGCTGGCCTCAGAATTCCTTGCAATGAACTATTCCCATCACCATCCTTCCTTTTTCACACAGAAAATTACCAGCCAGCAGAAATAATATACGGGCCATATAGATTCGACCTAAAAGTTCTTGGGCAAACTATTTAAACTTGAAGTTAAATGCAGTCAGTTCCTTGTTGGTTCCAGAATTTCCTCTTTAGACATTTTCCATTGAGGTGACTTTCATGTAGATTTGGGTTTTCTGCTGACCATCTTTCACTCCTGCCGTCCGTTGAAACCACATATAAATAGAAGGTGCACTTAAAGAAGGCCAGGGGCAGAGCATGCTGTGACCATGCCTAGCTCTGGATATGTAAGAGGACAGCTTTCCTTCAGCCTGAAAGGAGGGCCTTTCGGGTACACCTTCGTGTTTTCCACTAACTGCTTATTCCTATCATTTCCTCTCCCAGAAGTGTCCTTATCCATATCTCTCAATTCTGTCTCCTGCACAAAGTCATGGAGGTTCAAATTATTATTAACTCCTTTTGGGGGGAGGCGGGGCCTCAGTTTCCACGATCTTGGTTCCGTGGCCAGGGATTGAACTCCCACCCTCAGCAGTGAAAGTACAAAGTCCTAACCACTGGATCACCAGGGAGTCCCCTATTATTAACTCTTAAAAGCAGCTTGTAGGAAAAGGAGAAACCATTTTATTATTTAAAACATACACATATACCATCAGCAATGCATGACTCTAATGATGTGTATACAGGAGAGAGGTAGAGCTTCATTCTACCTGCCTTTTATCTTCAAGACTTAGCAGGTACCTGGCTTCAGCTGTTTCTCAAAGAGAAAAAAAAAAAGCCTGGAACGTAGAATTGGAAAAATTAACTCTCTTGATGTTCTTGTCTCCATCGTCATTAACCATCTCTGCCCAACTGAAGATGGATTTGTCAATCCAAATGGGAGACATTTCTAGGGAATATTTTTTTAAAACTTTATTTTCAAAAACAGGAGTAATGACTAGTGATAAAAATTATAGCAAGAGAGATGATTTTCAACTTTATTAATATTTAGCCACTCAAGACAGATAGCACTGTCCTAGGTACTTATTACTTAGACTATTTGATGACTGTTAGGGGACATGATTTCTGTCTTTAACACAGTATAAAGGAGAATGGCAAACTGTTTTAAAACTCTGTTGTGCCTGATAAACTGTGAATGAAATAAGGTCTTTAATGCCTTTCTTTCTCTTTAGCAAGCTTGTTTTTAAAAAGTGAGGCAAGGGAGACTTCTATTTTGCTTCCTTTGGCAACAGACTTTTTCTCAGCACTTGATTGGGTTAAGGATGTTGGTGACGTGGAACAAAATGCCATACTCGGTCCAACTAGGTGACATTATGCATGGTGTGGCTTTCGCTGGGGTCAGGCTGTCATCTGTGATGTGGTTTAGAGAGATGCGTCATGGTTCACGGTTCTGTAGTCACACAGCGAAGGACACTGCCCACTTCTCCCACTTACTCTGCTGCTTCCGAAAGTTCCAAGTGCATCAAACATAGGGTTCTACTGTGCTTACCAAAGTGATACATTTGTTAGATGGGAGGTAACTAAATGTATGAAATATTTCTCGCCTGCCTCCTACTCTCCGCCCCCACACAAGTACGGCTCCTATTGAATTCTAGGTGTGAACACCTAGATATTTCACTCTGACTCAACTTTCCATTCTCATATTTGATAAGAATGACACAAATGAAATGCATGTTCTAATACTCAACTGTATGCTTTAAGCATATCTGAAATGTAAAATAAGTAGATTGAGGTGATAAGAATGAAACGAAATATTTTTCTCTTAACAAAAGAAATACAGCTTAATCCTTAATGGATCAATGATGGATCAATAACTTGAGAGCTTACTGCATCCCTGACATTGTTTTAATTATATGTCCATTTGTCCACATTAATACTCAGAGCAGCTCACACTTTAAAGAGGGGGGCATTGAAGTACTGCTAGGTTAAGTAATTCACTCAAAGTTGTACTCAGCAACTCAAGAGAGAGGCATGTTTTGAATGCAAGCTGTCTGTCTGCTAAATCTATTAACCCCCATGCCGTACTGACTCCAAATAAGTGAATCCAAATTACTCTTGATGTATTTAAAATAAAATATGGTTTACCTAAAATATACCAGCCTCTATTGGAGCCTAAATGCTGCTTAAAGCAAGATGTGCCTGTGTAAACCGGCACTGTAATTTCAGGATTTTCCCTGGAACTAATGAAGGGCATTTTCTTTGCAAGAGAATTAAGTGCAAAATTGTGCAAGGTTGAAGCGTTCTCTGAAACCAGGATTACACCCACTTTGGCATGCCGCGTCAAGCAGCCAGGACGTAAGGAAAGAAAAGCAGGCTGCAGTGAATGGTTATACATTCAGGTTTGAGCTGCAGCCATATATGTGGGTTAGTTTCCAAATGGACATTTACATTGCCTTTATGTGGATCAAATTGGTGTTTATTTGCCAAATGTGTTATTTAGATCTCGGGGAAAAGACAGCATGGCCCCAGGGAAGTTTCACAATTATAACCTAACTAGGCTCCCCAGCTTACCTCGAATAAAGGGGGCTCCAGCGTGTTTGATAAACACAAGCTCTAATAGTTCATTGATTTTGAGGGAAATAGCAGTTTGTCCTTTTGCAGTAGGTCCCTATTGGGACTTTGAGGACCAGTATCCAGCGTTTTGCTCTGAGACTGAGAAATTTATTATACACTCCTGGTCCTGATTTGGGGGGTTGGGGGCATAAGGAGAAAAGGGGAGCCAGAGATTATCTTTGTGAAAAATCTAGCTTTTATTACATCACCTGAAGTAGCACAACCTGCTACACTAATGAAATTGTGTTCTTGGTTGAAAAGGGCAATTGTTAGCCTGACTTTGTGCTCACTAAAAACATTCCCCCAATCTTGTTAAATTATTGCTCTCATTTCAGATTTTTATAGCTATGCAACTTACCAGTCCTCATTTCTTTACGTTTCATTCATTTTCCTTGTATTGATGATTAATGGAGGATGTCGAATGTTAGAGTGAGCAGGCATCAGCAATTGCAAGATCATAATTAGTTTAGCTGACGAGGGCCTCTGATAGCACTTGCATCTGGATGGAAAAATTACCCTATAGGGAACTGGCTGCTCACCAGGTCTTTTTAGTGATACATTGTGAAACACCCGATGAATCAAATGCCCTTTCAATGCCAAGAAAGTGTTCCAGTCTTGAAGCCAAAATTATGTCTGCAGAAAGCTTTCCATTTGAAATGTATCAGAGTACAATTATAACCATTGTATTTTCTTGGCAGGGATACCCCTCGTCTACAGTATGGACTCGAGTTAAATAAATTGCCTAAATTTTATGAATCCCTGAAATTTTGACTTATAGTGTTTGTAATTTTAAATTTATCACAAAATTGGGTTCCAGCAAGACTTTTTCCACTCCTTATCTAACATGCATATTTTATCATTAAAGGCTTTGCTTCCTAGAGAAAAGAGAGCAGAGTTGCAATTCAGGCTGTCTTTTTTTTTTTTTCCTTCTTCTTCTTCAGCCAGAGTTCCATTTCCTGCCTGTTAGTATTTGTGCCTATGAACACAGCCTGACTTTTGTTTCAATGAGAAGTTTAATGGAATCATTACTTGATAGCAAGAATGGGACAAGCAATGCTAACGATCTACTTTTAAATATTCTTGGATTATTTTTCAATCTGGTGATTAGAGAATTCAGTCCACTAAAATCCATTTGTGTTCAGAAAACGCTTGTGATTTCCAAGTCTGAGTCAAATAAAATAAATAAATAGCCATTGATGGGACTATGTTGTTTGGCTTAAGCACGCCCCTCATAAGGATTCTCATTAGTGATACTGTACTTCTAGTTGGCAGGAGTTTCTTCTGTTCCTCTCAGATTTGGGAGATAGAGGGTGTTCTCTTTCAGATTTTACAGCTGCAAATGAAAAATTAGAACTAAGTGTCTTATTAGTGTCTTAATACTAATGTTACATGAATGACATCCAGAAAGACATGCATCAGGTTTAATTGTAACTGGTTTACATGCTGCACTTATTCCAAGTTGGACTATATTTTGAAGCTCAGGTAACCTGGGCTCCTCTTTTTCCAAAATACATTAAACATATTGCCATGCTCTGTCTTTTGACTTTTGACACTTTTAAAAGGTATATTTTAGGGTTCAGCATTTAGGAGCCATCATTAAAGGCACAAAACCCAAAGTTCAAAAAGTTAAAGCTGTTTCTGTGAAAAGCCTTTGTTGTTGCACACACCTCATCCATCACTGTAGGGTTAATTATAATGAAAATCAGTGGTGCCTATTAAACACAATTGAACCTGACCTCATTATGGGCAGTGTGGTTTTATACTGTCATTGTTGCTAGTCTAAAGACAAAACTCCTGGGTTGATTTGGTCCAACTCCACTGATCATGTGACTCACCTCTGACCTTGTATTTTTTTTTTCCCCATTTCAGAGGCGCAGAGGCTCGGGTGTTTTTTGTGCCAATTGCTTGACCACAAAGACCTCTCTCTGGCGAAAGAATGCAAATGGCGGATATGTATGCAATGCGTGTGGTCTCTACCAGAAGCTTCACTCGGTAAGAACTTGTTAGACTGTTTCAGGAAAAGCTTTATAAAACAGCCTGGTCTGTGGTGTGATAAGTACCATTCCCTGGCTTGCGGTGCCTGCCCCTGCAGAATTTAATCCAGTTGCTTTGAGCGCACTTGTGATTTATGGTAGACCGGCCTTAGATGTTATGGGGAGATTCATGTGAGATCATTACTAATGCATTATGTTTCTTTTGATATAAAAGAGGAAAATGATTGATTTCTGGGAACTTCACGTAACCGATATGTGAATGAGTGGGTATCAGAATTCAGTGACATTAATTTAGGTAGAAAGGAGAAACTTTTAAAAACTCAAAAATACATAAATTAAAAAAAAAAAAAGCAAGAAGACTCTTCATTGTTCAGTATAAAATATAGGGCAAAGGAAAAAATGCTTCTTGTACAGTCTACTTTTGGAATTTGCAAGTGTCATCTAGGCTGGAAGTAGGACAAGTTCAGAAGAGTGGTTCTTACTGGGGCCAAGATGCCAGGTGACTCTCTCCAGGGTTCCAGTGGTACCTGAGGGCTTAAGGGGCGCACAGCAGAACAGAGGAAGGTGCAGAAATGCTCTGTGTCTTAAGATCTCTGGCTGGCTAGACTCTATGGCTCTCTGAGCTACGTCAGTTATTTCTAACCAAATTTTATGTAGAATCTTATAATATTTAAACTTACAAATCTCCCATCTTTATATGCATTTGACTTCCTGAAGGATTTTTTTTATTTTTTATTTTTTTTTTCCTTTTTGATTTAGAAAGTTTAGGGACTTCCCTGGTGGGCCAGTGGTTAAGACTTCGCCTTCCAGTGCCAGGGGTGCAGGTTCATTCCCTGGTCAGGGAACTAAGATCCCACTACCTTTCAGCAGCCAAAAAACCAAAACATAAAACAGAAACAATATTGTAACAAATTCAATAGTCTTTAAAAATGGTCCACATCCAAAAAAAAAAAAAAAAATCTTTAAAAAAAAGAAAGTTTATCTGCTGACCAAAGCTGCCTTTAAAAATAGGAATGCCCCATCTAGTAAGCAAAAATCTGTTTCCTTCTGCCTTTTGCATTTTGTTTGGCATTTTACCACAGCTCTTAGCACCAGCCAGTGAATAGAATGCAGCTACGGGGAATACAATTTTAGACAAAATGTCCTCCTAAATGGACCACTGGAAGACTCTTTTAAAAATGCATGCTGCCAACAAGACTAATTGGTAGTAAACTGTAAAAACCTTATTTATTAGCATGTAGCTAGTAGAAGGAATCTCCACCTACCACCATCACCTTACTTTTTTTAAGCCTTCACCATTTAAGCAAGCAATAAGCTTCCATTTAACGAGTACTGACATTAATGATTTTAATTGAATGCTGTCCAATCAAAGGCCAAATATTAATTAAACTACTGCTCTTCCAGGTTATGGTAATTTAACAACTGCAATATAAATGAAAAAAATTTTAACAATTATTTTATTATTCATCTCTCCAGAGATGTTTTTCATTTTGAAGGTTTTTTTTTAAATCATAAATTTCCTATACTTTACTCCATGAATTCCATGGCCCTACATGCTCTTAGTTCTTATACATTTGTGCATAATAATTCTCTGATGTCTCTTTTATGGACTGTAATTCCTTTACCTGTCACTTAAATATTGGTCTTCTTTAGGATTCTAAAACAGACACTATATTTCTTCCACTCTTTATTCTACAGGATAAAATTCTTCATTCCCTTGCATTTTCCCATCAACTCCATATATTTACATTTTTTATAAATATAACCTTTATGTACAATGCAATGCACAGATCTAATATATAGTGTCCAGTGAGTTTTAATAGTCTCATCTTAATCAAAATATAAAATAGCATGTTTACCTTAGAAAGTTATCATGTAGCTGTTTTAAAATATACTATGTGTTAAAATATTGAATTTAAATATTATAATTAAATACAAGTTTTAAAATATATCAAGATTTGTGAAATTACCTAAAGCAGTGCTTAGAGGAATATTTTCAGCATTAAATGCTTATATTCAAAAAGAAGGATAGAGATTAAATATGTATGTTTGAAATATGAGATCTTTATAAATCTGAAATTCTGAACAAAGTAAATGAACATGGACTATCCAGGGGACGTGACATTTTCATTCTAAAACCAGTAATTTGATGTTCAATAACAAGTGCATTCTCCTTTTTTCTTCAAAATGTCTTTGTGACAATAAAAACACTCCAACAGGATTTGTATTTTGTTTAACACTTAAAAGATACTCTCTTGCATTAAGGTACATCATTTCCAGATATAATTCACAAGTTACATATTGTTCATGTTCATATTTTATGTAGAGATTATTTCCTGATTTCAGTAATCTTTTAGAAAAAAATCAGATTTTAGCCCATTTAAAGATTCTTTAAAATTTTAATTTGTAAATATGCATTCACTTATTAAACATATTCTCTTGATTTTATAAATGAAAGTTAAAGCTCCTACTGCAAGTAAAGTTTTTATTATAGTCTTATCTATGGATTTTAGTCATGTAATATAAACACCTGTTGAACATGTACATAAATACCAGTCATATCATACTTAAGCTGGGTGAAAGTCTGCATTCTATTTAAGTACAGAGTAGAATGACAGATAGGATATTTGAAGCAAGCCTACAAATAAATTTAGATTTTCAACAGAAAACAAATGCTTCACCTGTTAACAGGTAAAATCTTCCTTAATAGTAAGTACTTATATAATTAGAGGAAAAGAAATGAAAGTAGATTTATTAAAAAAAAAAAAAAAAGAAGAAGAAAAGACAATCTCTCACTGGATATGGCTTTGATGCTGAAGAATTCCACGGTCAGAGGAGCCTGGCAGACTACAGTCTATGGGATCAGAAAGATTCGGACATGGCTGAGCAACTAACAATTTCACTTTCACTTCACTTGATATGTTTCCTTACAGTTCTGTCAGTTTGCCTTTGATTATTTATATTCTGATGTTTAATATTGTATATCCACACTTGCAGTTATTTAGGAGAATGTGTGTATTAGTCATCTGGGCCTGACATAACAAACTACCATAAACTGGATGGCTTAAAGAACAGACATTTATTTTCACAGTTCTAGAGGCCGGCGGTCTGAGATCTGGGTGCCAGTGTGGTTGGGTTCTGGTGAGAGCTCTCTTCCTGGCTTGTAGAAGGCTGCCTTTACTCTGTGTCCTCATTTAATCTTGTGTGTTAATCACTCAGTTTGTACGACTCTTAACGACCCCATGGACTGTAGATTCCGCCAGGCTCCTCTGTCCGTGGGATTCTCCAAGAATACTGGAGTGGATAGCCATTCCCTTCTCCAGGGGATCTTCCCAACTCAGGGATTGAACGCAGGTCTCCAACATTGCAGCAGATTCTTTACTATCTGAGCTACCAGGAAAGCCCTCACTTAACCTTATTTACCTCCTAAAGACCTTATCTGCAGATACAGTCACACTGCGTGGTTAGAGATTCAGTCTATGAATTGGAAGGGAGTATCTGAGGGATGGGGAGGAAGACATAGTTCAGTCTACCGCCTTGTATTATTTTTCCACAGTTGTCATCAAAACCGATCTCTTATGTTACTGTTGACGTCTTCTTGCTGCATGACTCAAAAGTTGAGAAATCTTTCAGAAAAATCACATTTATTTGACTAACTTTCTACATCATTTTATCACAAAATAATGCAATTCCGAAGTCTGTTGAGTTTGGAAAGGCTGTTTTCAAGTAGATTAAAGTTTTTCAGTTCTCTCTGTAAAGATGGGCATGATTTAATTAGGGTAAAAGAGTGTGCTTCGGTTCTGTCCTCTGATCCTGCTTAGGGCAAAAGGAGGAGATTTAGTAAATCTATAACATAAAGCCTATCTTTGCTTTGAACTTGAACATGGTTTATATTTGTGAGGAATTGTTAATGCATTTTAATGTATTTTTTAATGTTTTCCTTTTATGTATTGTGTGTGTGTTCCCTGCAGACTCCCAGGCCTTTAAACATCATTAAACAAAACAACGGTGAGCAGATTATTAGGAGAAGAACAAGAAAGCGCCTTAACCCAGAGGCACTTCAGGCCGAGCAGCTCAACAAACAGCAAAGGGCCGGCAGTGAGGAGCAGGTCAACGGCAGCCCCTTAGAGAGGCGGTCGGAAGATCACTTAACTGAAGGCCACCAGAGAGAAATTCCACTCCCCAGCCTGAGTAAATACGAAGCCCAGGGTTCATTGACTAAAAGCCATTCTGCTCAGCAGCCAGTCCTGGTCAGCCAAACTCTGGATATTCACAAAAGAATGCAACCTTTGCACATTCAGATAAAAAGTCCTCAGGAAAGTACTGGAGACCCAGGAAACAGTTCATCCGTGTCTGAAGGGAAAGGAAGTTCTGAGAGAGGCAGTCCCATAGAAAAGTACATGAGACCCGCGAAGCACCCAAATTATTCACCACCAGGCAGCCCTATTGAAAAGTACCAGTATCCCCTTTTCGGACTTCCCTTTGTACATAATGACTTCCAGAGTGAAGCTGATTGGCTGCGGTTCTGGAGTAAATATAAGCTCTCCGTTCCTGGGAATCCGCACTACTTGAGTCATGTGCCTGGCCTACCAAATCCTTGCCAAAACTATGTGCCTTATCCCACCTTCAATCTGCCTCCTCATTTTTCAGCTGTTGGATCAGACAATGACATTCCTCTAGATTTGGCGATCAAGCATTCCAGACCTGGGCCAACTGCAAATGGTGCCTCCAAGGAGAAAACGAAGGCACCGTCAAATGTAAAAAATGAAGGTCCCTTGAATGTAGTAAAAACAGAGAAAGTTGATAGAAGTACTCAAGATGAACTTTCAACAAAATGTGTGCACTGTGGCATTGTCTTTCTGGATGAAGTGATGTATGCTTTGCATATGAGTTGCCATGGTGACAGTGGACCTTTTCAGTGCAGCATATGCCAGCATCTTTGCACGGACAAATATGACTTCACAACTCATATCCAGAGGGGCCTGCATAGGAACAATGCACAAGTGGAAAAAAATGGAAAACCTAAAGAGTAAAACCTTAGCACTTAGCACAATTAAATAGAAATAGGTTTTCTTGATGGGAATTCAATAGCTTGTAATGTCTTATGAAGACCTATTAAAAAAAATACTTCATAGAGCCTGCCTTATCCAACATGAAATTCCCTTCTTTTATTATTCTTTCTTTTGATGAGTAGGTTACCAAGATTAAAAAGTGAGACAAATGTTCAGTGAGAAAAAAAAAAAGGAAGATGGTTAATAGTCCTGCTTTAGAACCTAGTAAGTCAAAACCATCTTGGTGAATGTGTACTGTGGAAACTATCCATAAGAAGTATCACCAGACTATAATTATGATATCTGTATAGAAAGAGATCAAAGCTGTTTAGAATTTGGAAGGGTTTACATATTATGATCCTAAAGCAGTATTGGGCTGGCCATTGGCCCATTTGTTCAAAAACCCATAAATTATTGCCTCAGTTTCGAAGTATCATGAAATCCTAGGCAGATGAGGAGAAATTTAACCTCCAGGGCAGTGAAAGGAAAATGGCGCCCTCTTAGACGAGAATCCTCTCATAGATCATGTTTCAAATTTAGACCTAGAAATGAGAGCTGTGGTTAGGCTTGGAGAGAGAGCAGTGGGAAAAGTGACAGATGGTGGCACGATGATTTTGGCCAGCCCTGCCTGTACATACACATGCACACCCTCTCTGATATTTTTGTCCTTTAGATGTTCACATACTCCTTTCAAAACTAGTCCTCTTGTTTGCGATTTAGGTTCATTTTGTCCAAATATATATGCATTTTTAAAAAACAGTGTCCTCAGTGCTACGTAGTAACTTTATTTTAGCCAGATCATTCTTTCTTGTATGTGATGAACCAGTTTGGGTTTATTTTCTAAGCTTCCTTTGGGTCGCTAATCTCATTTGGCATGTTCTAACTAAAGGGATCCCCTCAGTTCAAAAGACTAAATGGATACAAAAGTTCAGACCATGGCATTCATTGATGTAGAACACATGGTATTTCTCCACAAGGTAACCTGCTGTATTTATTTATTTTCTTTTGGTTTAAATATAATTTCCAAACTTTGTGGTCAGGCAGCGTCTAAGGTTACGTTACCACAGGCTGACAGTTGGTATATGTACCAATCAATTCCTCCATTAGATTTATACAGGTTTAGTTAAGTAGCATTAAATAGGATTCTTAGAAGTATGTTCTTCATAGTACTTTTAATACTTAAGGCTTTGTAAAACTATCCATGAAGGGAAAGCCTCAGCATAACTGCTCAGGGAAATAGGGCTAAATAACTGAACATTAAATAATTGGTTAAAGGTGCTGTTAGTCGAGCCTCAATGCTTGCTACACAGATGTATGTACAAGGACTGACTTTAATAATTTGCATTATATTGTCCCAACCAGTAGTTTATTTTTTGCCACGGAGATGTAGAAGATATTACAAGCTACTGGATGCACTGTCAGATTAACTTATTTCATTAAAGAAGTTGGGAGAACAAATAGGAAAAAAAAAAAAACCTTATTTTTCTAGTAAATATTAATGTATTACATTTCAAATAATGGTGCCTGACATATTGAATAATTATTTTCTACAGTGTACGTATGCAACAAAGATATTCCATCATGCATTAGAGTCAGTTCTGACTCTGCCTAGCTGTTTACATTTGCAAATGTAGCAAACAAGGTAATGAAGCAACTATTTCTATTGCGGTAGATATCTTTTGTGTGTGTGTGTGTGTGTGCATTAAAATTGTAAACGGTAACATGAAACAAATGAAAGTTCTTGATATAATGGTATGGAAAACAAGAAGGAAATGAAAATATTTTTATGCCTACTTAGGAAAAAAGGGTAGCACTATTCATTCCAAGTACTTTTTTTTTTTAATTTTTAAGCTCTTAACTCACATTGTTATGCTTAAAATGATAAACATATATCCTCTTTTTATTGCTTTGTCTATGTTTCAGATGAAACATTTCAGAAATTATTTTGATAAGTGCTGCTGGAATCTGCAGCACTGATGTTTTTATTGCATTCTGTAGTCGCATTTGCACTCCATTTTTACATTAATTCGCAGTTGCTTTGTATTGTTTTGTTTGGGTTTTGTTTCTTTTTCCCAGTGCCTGGTCTTCGTTTCTTCAAGTTGGATGGCAGGTAGAGTTCAACCAGTTCGTGGCTGTTGTAGTGAATGAAGTTCAAACTGTCTTTCTGATGCTGTGTTGTCATTTCCATTCTTGCATTTTTGTTTTCATGTAAAAAAAAAAAGAGAGAGAGAAAAAGAGAGAAAGAAATCAGGACTAAGCCTTTTGCTTCAGTTTCATTTTTAAAGGGTTGTTTTCTGATCTCACCTGTCAAGTAGCTCTAATATAATTCACATGAACTGAGATAAAGAGGTGAAATGAGGGGCTTTGACATTCAAATTATGTGATGTCATTTATCTTCCTTAGGAATTTTGATGAATGCATATCAAAATGTACAGGCAGATTGGAGAGGTGGCAATTAAAGATCTAAAGAGGAGATTTCCCAAACAACAAAACAGTATTTAATTTTCTCAGTGAAAGGACTAGAAACAAAGTGCAATGTGGCGGTCCTCAAGCACCATGGTACATGAACTGCTCAAATTAGGAAATACTCCAAGTGTGGTTACTTGGGCAATAGTACAGGTATGACTTTTTGGGCAAAACTACTATTTAAGCAGTTTCTCCAGTGTATCTGACACAAATATGTTGTTCTTTCTTGGCATATATGTCTCTTTATTTCATCTTTTTTTTTTTCCCCTCAGACACACAAGTAGTAATGGTTAGCATTGGAAATACATATCACTATTCTTGGAATATTTATGATCAGTCTACTGTAGGTAGAATATTCTTAGATAGCATTGTCAATAGATCTTATTCTGTATTCTTTTTATTATTGATTATTTTATTTTCATTTATTTCTTTTTCATATTTTGATGGAGAAGAGGTTGGGCTATGAAAAACAATGAAAATTTATCAAAACACTAAAAGAACCCCCCCCCTTTTTTTTGACTTTTGAAAGCCTTTGTCCTAGCTCTCAAAATACATTTTTACAAAATTGATTGATTGGTATCTTTATTTTTATTTGGGTTTAGGATTTCTGAACTATTTTGTCTTAAATTGTGATTTTAAATGAGTTATTTAGATACCTAAAACCTTTTTAAGGATTCTCAAGATGACTTGGGAATTTCCCTTCTTGGAAAAGTCTTTCCCTATGATAAAAAACTATACGCTAGGTAAAATTGTATGTCATTTTAAAAACATATGTCTTTTTAAAGTGTATGTCCAGATTCTGAATCGGGCTTTGGATCAAACTTTAAGCCAGGACCAGCTCATGCATTCTCATTCTCCTTTTTCTCACTCTTTCTCTCTTCATCTCTCACCCATATATTCATATTGTTGTTTGGGATAGAAGAATCTTAAAGAGCCAGCCCACCTCAGAAGATTGTGGATTGAGAGACGCTACACTGATTACATGAAGAAGGATGGAGCTGTCGTGGTTAATGTGTTAACTCTGTAGTTCAAAGGAAAAGAGTGTTCCCATTCTTTCTACATGACATATTGAGATGTTCTTTTTAAAAAATCAACTTTTAAGATAATGATGTTTTCTTCTAAACTGTTCTCTTTTAGTAAAGGTAGGTTTTAGAAAACAAGCATGGGGATTTTTTTTTTTCTAAGGTAATATTAATGAGAAGAATAGAAAAAGTGATTATCTTTAACAGCTCTTTGTTGAAGCCTGTGGTAGCACATTATGTTTATGATTGCACATGTGCACATAATCTATGATGATCCAATGCAAATACAGCTCCAAAATTATTAAATGTATATATTTTTAAATGCCTGAGGGTATACATTTTTCTTAATTAGTTGAAGAGTATCAGTACTGCTACTAAAGTAATGATTAGCCTCCTGCTGTGTGGCTGTGAAACATCAAAGGTGACCTGTCTTAAGACTTCTCAACTGCCTGCCTGTTTAGTTCGTGAACATGAACATAATTCTAGAGGGGGACGATCAAACATCCCGTGGTGGTAAAGAAGCTGAGGGTCAGCTTCTGAGCTGTATGCAAGCTTTTTGCTTAAAGTTTACTTTGAGCTCACAGCTTTCTGTCTTTGGGTTGAGAACCATGGCAAAAAAAAAAAGCAAGGCATCTTTTGTGATCAAGTAAGTGTAAACTTGCTGACTGTCCTAGATCACAGGAGAAAATGGAAGAATGAAATCAAATCCAAATATGAGACTAAAGATGCTAACCAAAGGTAGGTACTAAGTGGAATTCTATCAGCAGGCCACTATAAATGAGAAGAGGATAGAGAGACATGTACCAGGACTTTGAAGGGCTGTTATTTTCCCAAAGAAAGACTTGGCCAAGGGCAGAAGCCATGGCTTCATTGCAGGGCACTTCCTGTGGGTTTCCATTAGCATTTTACCGCCATTGGACACACATGTTCCTGCTAACCATCAGTGGTTTAGAAAGCATCCACAGTTATCTGCAGTAATTAGGACCTCTGGAAGATGCTAGGGTTGAAGTGTGTCAAGTCAGGGATAAAGAAAATGTGAATTTCAAATTGGTCCACACATGGAAACTGGATAATGTATCCTAACGTGTTCTCTTGAAGGGAAAAGTAGAGCTAAAAACTTCACTCCATCCTTCATCAGAGAAAATGGTCCTTCAAGACCCATGAGTCCCAAAACTGGATCCTGATTTTTACTCCTGGATTTTTGTTCATTATATGACCTGCAGCAAATCACTTTTTTCTTTTTGTGCCTCAGGTTCCTCACCTGTAAAATGGAAAAATATATTAATAATAATATTAATAATAATAATAATAATAATGGTAATGTAGTACTTGTTTGTAAAGCACTTTGAGATCCTTGATTGAAAGGCACCATGAGAGTGCCAAGTATTATTATATGGCTAAGGAGCTTATTTAAACTCTTAAGTTCCCAAGGGCCAGGAAAGGTTGGGGTCATTTTTTTAAAGATGAGCTGTAAATATCATAATCAGGCAGCCTATTGTGTTGACTCTGAAGAGGCGAAACTGTTACAAGGCTGATAAAACCATAGTTTCTTAATGGCTACCAACAAGGCAAATATCACAATTAAGAAATGCCAAATTCTTTAAGGTGACAACGTGAAT